AGGTCGTCCTAAACGGCTTCTCCTCCAATTCCTTTCATACGAACGCTGGTGTTTCCCAAGGCTCTATTCTGGTCATACACTGTTTCTGATCTTCATCAACGATCTTCCTGATGTCCATCAATTCCCAAGTAGGCCTCTACACGGAAAACACTCTTATTTACTCCTGCCTCAATAGTAAATCCGGCATAGCTGACAAAACTAACCTGACCGTTGGTCTCAAAAAAGACTTCCAATCTGTGATTTACTGGGGCTGGAAATGGCTTGTAAACTTTAATGCCTTTAAAACGAAACTGCTCTCATGTACCCACCATAGAGAACCCTCCCTGCCTCCCAACAGAATAGCTTATACCCAACTCTACGAGAGCGCCTCTCTACGGCTGATTGGTCTCACGCTTTCCTCTGACCTGAGGTGGAACAACTACATTGAATCTATTGCTTCATCTACCGCAAGGAAAGTTGGTTCTCTCTGTGGCGCCAGAAGGTTTTTCTCGCCTGAGTCCATCCTTCAAATCTATAAATCAACCATTCGTCCTTGCATTGAATACTGCTGCCATATATGGCCTGGCGACCCCGCTGTTTATCTCGAAGTCCTTGGCAAAATCCAGAGACGTATATGCAGTGTGATAGGTCCAGATCTGGCATCTCGTCTACAGTCATTTTCTCAGCGACGCACTGTGGCTTCCCGCTGTCTTTTCTACAAATATCTTTATGACAACTGCTCTGACGAGCTGCTTTCACTGGTTCCCAAACTGCATGAATTTAAGCGTGCTACTAGGTTGGCATCTCGGTACCCCACTTTCATTATCGAAACGGTTAAATGTAACCATCTTTTCTACTCCAACAGCTTTCTATCTCGCACCTCCCATCAGTGGAACTCCCTTCCTATAATTTGCTTCCGTGATAGCTATAATCTTGAAATATTCAAATGTAATGTCAATCGACATCTTCTAATGTCTTGACCTTGATCCCCGTCCATCTCTTTATCCTTTCCCCAAACACTCCTCTTTACTATTGCTCTCACTCTCTGTAACCGCTTGAGTGCTATGGGGCATTCCCGCCCTTTTTGAAGAAATTTTTTTTTTAAGTATTTCACCCCAAGCAAGGCGGGAAGTCACTAGGACGCAAGGGGTTACAGAAAATCGCAAGATCAGATAGGAGTGATAGAAGAAAGGATGAGGGTAGTGGATAGATCAAGGCAACTAGAGATGTCGATTGACATTACACTTGAATAGCTGGAGATTATAGCTCACAGGGAAATAGGAATAGGGAAGAGAGTTCCACAGGCGAGAGGTGCGTGACATGAAGCTATTGGAGTAGAAGAGAGACGGTATACATTTAGGAGTTTCGACAGTGAAGGGTGAGAGGGATGCCAGCCTCGTAGGGCGCTGGAACTCATGACGTCTGGGAACCAGCGAATGCAGCTCCTCGGAGCAATTTCCATGAAAGTATTTGTAGAACAGACAGAAGCGACGGCGCGTCTGTGAGAAAGTGACTGTAGCCGAGACGCCAGAGCATTGCATATCCGCCTCTGGAGCCTATCAAGAACCCCGAGGCAAACAGAAGGGGCGCCAGACCATATATGGCAGCAATACTCCATGCAAGGGCGAATTGTGGATTTGTATATCTGGAGGATCGACACAGGGGAGAAAAACTTCCTAGCACGGCTCAGGAAGCCAACTTTCCTCGCAGTGGACGAAGCAATTGACTCAATGTATTTATTCCATCTCAGGTCAGCAGTCAACGTGAGACCGAGAAGCCGCAGAGAGTTGCTCTCGAGAAGTTGAGCGTCAGACATTCTAATGGAGGGAAGGGAAGGCTCTCTGTGGTGATTAATAGAGAGCAGTTTTGTCTTCGAAGCGTTGAAGTTGACCAGCCAATTCATGCCCCAGTTCACAATCGATTGGAGGTCTTTTTCGAGACGCACGGCAAGGTGAGTTTTGTCAGCGAGACTAGATTTGTTTTTGAGGCAGGAATAAATTGTGGTGTCATCCGCGTAGATGCCAACTTGGGAAGTTATGGCATCAGGAAGGTCATTTATGTAGATAAGGAATAGAATGGGGCCTAAGACGGAGCCTTGGGGCACACCTGCGTTCGGGGGATAGGAACTGGAGGAGAATCCGTTGAGAACGACCTTCAATTCACGGTGTGACAGGAATGATTGTATTAGATTACATAATCGACCCGTAATGCCATAACCCTGGAGCTTGCGGAGAAGGCCGGCATGCCAAACCCTATCAAATGCTTTGGAGATGACTAGCGCCACGGCACGAGCTTCCCCGTTATTTTGAAGAGCTCGGTAGACTGTTTCAGTGATGGCCGTAAGCACATCAGTTGTAGATCGGGCAAAGCGGAAACCATATTGCTTGTCTGAGTCAGATTATGGGATGTGAGGTGGTTAGCCACCTCGGTATTGATTAGAGCTTCGAAGACTTCTTTTTTTTTTTTTCAAATTCATTTTTTTCTCTCCCACCACTCGTCAATGTGCTCTACCATAGTAAGACATTTTGTCCCAATGATTCTCCCTTATTTAGTACGAATTCCCGGTTCGAAAGAAAAATCAGGAAAAATGCAAAATTCAATGTCTTTGGCTCGATGCGAAGGTGTCTCGTCAGTATTCTAATGATTTTGTGACAGTTTCTTTTTGCTTGATATATTCTCTGAACTTGGAATTGTTCTCGCCATTTCTTTCTCCTGTTCTAAATTTTATTGAAAGCATATCTCCCAAGCCCACTATTTGGTGAGGGCTGAGGATTGGCCGTTGATCCCCCACCACCAGGTCGACGCTTGGACATAAGGTAAGCCGTACATTCAGTTACCATCATGAGGAAGAAAGCAGACAACTACTTGCTGTCCCGTGTGAGTATAGTTTCGCTCTAGCAGAAACCCATTTGCACTTTTCATTTTTTTAAATTCATTTTTTCTCCCCCCCCCACTCTACCATAGTAAGACATTTTGTCCCAATGATTCTCTCTTCTTTATAGTTTAGTAAGAAATCCCGGTTCGAAAGAAAAATCAGGAAAAATATAAAATTCATTGTCTTTGGCTAGATGCGATAATAGATCCGGATAACCTTATTTTCAATTTCTTTTTAGAATCGACAATGGGACTTATACTAGTTAAAACTTAATGTGATAGGGTATAGCCAAGTGTACACGGCTGACAGTTCTCTGGTTGCTGTTCCCGACTGGTAGTTAGGAGCCCTAACTCTTGCGTAGCGTCTTGAGCGGCTGCTCTTATCAACAGTTGTATAATACCGGGGTGTTTGTAGTGCCATGTCGCGCATGGAAAGGTGTCCCTGCAGTCACCTCCGGTGGGCAGCCCTGAGGCCACATAATGATGCCAACTCCTCTCTGCCCGCGTCACGGTCGAAACTGTCTGTTTCTTTTACTTCGGGCCTTCTCATCTTACAAAATTCAACATGAGTTACAAAAACCGAAAGATTAACCCTAAACCAGCCTCTCAAAAATCACCTAAACCCCTCAACATTTCGTTCTCCAACATTCGTGGCATTAGGACAAATAAAGAAACATTGACTTGCATAATAAAATCTGACGTAAAACAGAAAGCATATTTAATTGTATAGTGTAGAATTTTTAGGTTAATGTAAGTGATATACAGAGCCTGTCTCTTTTGAACATAAAAAAAAAAGATAAGAAAATGTTTCGGATAAACTCTACAGGATCCGGTCTTTTAATGTTTATCGATGCCTACGACTATATCTGTGCTTGATTCGCTTCTTACGACAGTAATGAATTGATTTCTTTCATTTTTTTTTTTTTTTTTGCTTCTGAGCGGCCCGGTAATGGAGTTCAGAACTTTTAGAATTCAATGAATATTTTGAAGTAGGCAGACGACATTGCAAATTTACAGAAACCGCCAAAGAAAAGGCGGCAAGATGAAGAAAGGTGAAACAAAGAATGTCGAAAACAAATAAAATTGGCGGGAAATCAAAAGAAAATGATGCATTAATTAATTTGCTGAGTATTTGACTTTGATAATGGGAAAGTAAAAGAAAGAAACAAAGAGGCAAAGTAAGAAAGAAAGATAGAAAGAATAAAAGGGAACAAAGAAAGAAAGAAAGAAAAAGAAAAAAGATAGAAAGAATAAAAGGGAACAAAGAAAGAAAGAAAGAAAGAATAAAAGGGAACAAAGAAAGATAGAAAGAATAAAAGGGTACAAAGAAAGTAAGAAAAAAGAAGGAAAGAAAGAAAGAAAGATAGAAAGAATAAAAGGGAACAAAGAAATTAAGAAAAAAGAAAGAAAGAAAAGGAAAGAAAAATAAAAGGGAAGAAAGAAAGAAAGAAAGAAAGAAAGAAAGAATGAAAGGGAACAAAGAAAGAAAGAAAGAAAGAATGAAAGGGAACAAAGAAATTAAGAAAAAAGAAAGAAAGAAAGAAAAGGAAAGAAAAATAAAAGGGAACAAAGAAAGAAAGAAAGAAAGAAAGAAACAAAGAAAGAAAGAAACAAAGAAAGAAAAAGAAAGAAAGAAAGAAAGAATAAAAGGAAACAAAGAAATTAAGAAAAAAGAAAGAAAGAAAAGGAAAGAAAAATAAAAGGGAACAAAGAAAGAAAGAAAGAAAGAAAGAAAGAAAGAAAGAAAGAATGAAAGGGAACAAAGAAATTAAGAAAAAAGAAAGAAAGAAAGAAAGAAAAGGAAAGAAAAATAAAAGGGAACAAAGAAAGAAAGAAAGAAAGAAAGAAAGAATAAAAGGAAAAAAAGAAATTAAGAAAAAAGAAAGAAAGAAAAGGAAAGAAAGAATAAAAGGGAACAAAGAAAGAAAGAAAGAAAGAAAGAAAGAAATAATAAAAAGGAACAAAGAAAGTAAGAAAAAAGAAAGAAAGAAAGAATAAAAGGGAACAAAGAAAGAAAGAAAGAAAGAAAAGGAAATAAAGAACGTTTCAAACCAAGAAAAAAGTAAAGGCGCAAAGAAAAAAGAAAGAAAGAGGTAAAGAAAGCAAGAGAAAGTAAGAAAGAAAAGAAGAAAGAAAGCGAAAAAGTATCAATGGAGTAAAGGTGCAAAGAAAGAAAGAAAGAATGAAAAGTGAAAAAGAAAGAAAGAAATGAAAAGAAAAAAGAAAGGAGAAAAGGTGCAAAAGAAAAAAAGGAGAAAAGGTGCAAAAAAAGAAAGAAACAATGAATGAAAAGAAAGAAAGAAAGAAAGAAAGAAAGAAAGAAAGAAAGAAAGAAAGAAAGAGACAGAACAAAATAAATAAAACAGAAGGAGAAAGGGGGAAAAGAAAGAAGAGTAGCAAAGAAAGAAAAAGACAAAAAACGAAAGAAATTGGGCACAAGCAAAAAAATTAAAATGGAGCAAAAAGAAAGAAACAAACAAACAAACAAAGACGGACAAAGAAAGAAAGTAGGAAAGAAAGAAAGATGGGAAAGAGAAAATAAGAACGAAAGAAAGAAAGTGCCAAACTAAGAAAAGAGTAAAGCGCAAAGAGCGCAAAGAAAGAAAGAAAGAAAGAAAGAAAGAAAGAAAGAAAGAAAGAAAGAAAGAAAATAAGAACGAAAGGAAGAAAGTGCAAACTAAGAAAAGAGTAAAGACTCAAAGTAAGAAAGAAAAAAAGAAAGAATGAAAAGTGTCAAAGAATGAACCAAACTAAAATGTGAATAAAGATGCAAAGAGACAAAGAAAGAAAGAAAAAAAAGCAAGAAAAAAGAAATAAAGTGGCAAAGAAAGAATGAAAGAAAGAAACAAACTAACATAAATAAAAGCAAATGGACAATGTCAAAACAAGATGGAAATAAAAATACGAGAACAGGAAAAGAATAAATTATGTTGAAGGAATCAAAAAGAAAAAAAAGAAAAAGAAAGAAAAAGATGAGAATGTCTATATTTATGAGATGAAGTATTATGTACACTATTTACATTATTTGGATTATTGTCCTCATCTTTGTTGCCATATTTATTACAACATTTCGGCCCTTCAGTATCTGTCTATATTTCTGAGATGAGGTATTATGTGCATTATTTACATTATTTGGATTATTGTCCTCATCTTTGTTGCCATATTTATTACAACGTTTCGGCCTTTCAGTATCTGTCTATATTTCTGAGATGAGGTATTATGTACACTATTTACATTATTTGGATTATTGTCCTCATAATTGTTGCCATATTTATTACAACGTTTCGGCCTTTCAGTATCTGTCTATATTTCTGAGATGAGGTATTATGTACATTATTTACATTATTCGGACGATTGTCCTCATCTTTGTTGCCATATTTATTACAACGTTTCGGCCTTTCAGTATCTGTCTATATTTCTGAGATGAGGTATTATGTACACTATTTACATTATTCGGACTATTGTCCTCATCTTTGTTGCCATATTTATTACAACGTTTCGGCCCTTCAGTATCTGTCTATATTTCTGAGATGAAGTATTATATACACTATTTACATTATTCGGACGATTGTCCTCATCTTTGTTGCCATATTTATTACAACGTTTCGGCCTTTCAGTATCTGTCTATATTTCTGAGATGAGGTATTATGTACACTATTTACATTATTCGGACTATTGTCCTCATCTTTGTTGCCATATTTATTACAACGTTTCGGCCCTTCAGTATCTGTCTATATTTCTGAGATGAAGTATTATATACACTATTTACATTACTCGGACTACTGTCCTCATCTTTGTTGCTATATTTATTACAACGTTTTGGCCTTTCAGTATCTGTCTATATTTCTGAGATGAGGTATTATTTGCACTATTTACATTATTCGGACTATTGAGCTCATCTTTGTTGCCATATTTATCACAACGCTTCGGCCTTTCAGTATCTGTCTATATTTCTGAGATGATGTATTATGTACACTATTTACATTATTCGGACTATTGCGCTCATATTTGTTGCCATATTTATTACAACGTTTCGGCCTTTCAGTATCTGTCTATATTTTAGAGATGAGGTATTATGTACACTATTTACATTATTCGGACTATTGTCCTCATATTTGTCACCATATTTATTACAACATTTCGGCCGTTATACGCTCCGGCCTTCTTCAAGTGGTTGGAATGTCATATATATATATATATATATATATATATATATATATATATATATATATATATATATAATGATTATAAATTCATATATGATTATATATGATTATATAATCATATCTGATTATATATATATATATATATATATATATATATATATATATATATATGAATATTTTTTCTTTAATATGATTTCTTGAATATACAATGAAGAATCAGCAATGTTATTTTTCCTGACCTGGCATCCCGTCTTCACTCACTTTCCCAGCGCCGTAATGTAGCTTGTGAATTTTCTATAAATACTTTCGTGGTAATTGTCTCGATACCTAGACTTTATGAATTTAAGCGCAGTACTAGATTAGCAGCAAGGTCTCGTCATTTTACACTAGAAATGGCGAGATGTAACCGTAAGTTCTATGCTAACAGTTTCTTCTATTGCACATCTCGCTTGTGGAACTCTCTGCTTCCTGATTCCCAGTTTACTTTGATCTTCATAAATCTTGTGACGTACGTCGCCCGTTAATAATTAAATATAACTCAAGATTTCAATGTTAAGATAAAGCAATATTTAATTACAACCGCAATTAAATACTTAACAAAAACAAAGAACTAAAAGTCAACGAAAGATAATTAACCATTTCAGTGAATACCTTGTTAGTAGCACGGATCGGCTTAACGTCCGGTAATATCCTAAATCAAAACCCAAATCATCGATGCACAATAATTCACACTAATTCGACTGGATAGTTCCACTCAATAGCCACTTAATAATCACTGCAGTGAGTAGCCTGACACCGCTATTTATACACCTGGCTGAAAACATATTCATAAGCCCGGAGTGTCACGTTCGAGCCTCGGTGTCGTTAGCTACTCATTTTTTTCCTATATGACACAATGTCACTCGTTTTTTCCTATATGACACAATGTCACTCTTCTTAATTCTAGTTCTTTCAATGTTCTCTCTCCTTGCTTTTTCTTCGAGTATTCTCTAACACCCAGTAGCCCCTTGCGTCTTAGTGACTTTATTGCCTTGATTGTGATAAAACGATTAAAGAAAAAATATATATCAAAAGGTGTTAAAACTTGACCAAATGCTGTGCCGGTCACAACTACATCGTCACAGCCACACTACCTATTTACTTATTGCCGCCTCAGAATGTGTCTGTCTCTGCAAGTTCGAGAAAGCAATACTATACAGAGTAATGTTACCTCTAATTATTTGGCTCTCCACTGCGGGAAATAAGCAGAAGGACGGTGGTAACTATCCAACATTAGTTCTTGAGGTGGGTAGAGTCCTCTTGTAAGTAGAATTGTTTGAACAAAAATCTGTTTCCTGTTTGATTTCTCGCTGTGCGAAACTTTATGTGAAAATAAACTTACATTTAAAAATTGTGATTGGTGGTAGGTGGAAGGGAATTGAGATGTTGAATTTAGAGGGAAAAGGGATTGTAAGACCAGAGGTGGGAGGTGGTATTAATGTTGAAAGATTTTGTGACTTAGAAACAGTGTGGGAACATAGCGAGATTTGTTACAGTTTTTTGGATATGTCTGTACTAGTGAACCAACCAAAATGAGCTGACTCATTTTATATTTCACCAATAGAAGGGTTAACCAATCAGAAGCCTCAAAATATTCAATCCGACGTGTATAAAGGCAGCCATTTTGTTTTTTCTCCCAAAATATCTTCACTGCCAACCTTTGATATTGAAGACATTACGGACTTCACTGGATTCCATATTCAGAGACTACGGCAAACATGGTCAACAAGATTGTCAAATAAAGTAAAACAAAAGAGAAAAATAACAAAAGAAAAAACAGAGCGGGAAAAGAAATAGCACAAAAAGGGATAAAGAATCCCCCAAAACTTACTACACGTATGCACAACCAAAGTTCCATTCTATGACCATAATGGCAACATTTACACCCAAACTAATGGTGTTAGTATGGGAAATCCACTCGGCCCATGCTTTTCCAACTATTATGTCCCACGTAGAAAATACGATATTTACACAGGTCCGCAAACCGAAAATCTATGTTCGCTACGTAGACGATATTTTTATTTAGCTAATAACATTAAAGAAATAGAGACACTTAAGACCACATTTTATAAAAACTCCCTCCTTAACTTTACCTATGAACTTCCCTTCTTAGATGTCCTCGTTGAATACACACCAAATTAGACTATTTCTCCCCAAAGCAAATAATAACGATAGCGAACACACAGCCAAAAATCACATACACATTTATTACAAAAAACCAAATGCATATTAATTACAAACAAGATGAATCTTCTCTAAGGCATATTATAAAGAAATATACTACTCCAATTGATTCGAATAAAAAAATTCAAATTTATTATCTATTATAAAAAATTTAAGACAGCCAACCTTATCCTCAAAAATAACAACACACTAACTAAGTCAAAATTACAAAGAACGAACATTATCTATGAGTTCAAATGACCCTTAAGGAACTGTGTTCCTGATCAAATCGGACTCATAAATAATTACATCCATACACAACCACATGTTTATCCAGACGTCTTACGTTACACCTATCTGATCTCAGCTCACTTAGAACCCATTTAAACACACACACAAATTTACCAGACTCCATTAGAAACATACTAGTAGAAAACACAAATATATTAACTGCATCCACCTGCAAAAAAAGACTAAAAATAATGGAAGCTTTAATAATAAACAAGCCAACTCTTAACAATCTTAACTACGAACAAAGCCACAATGTGCTTACCGTATTCGTAAATTACAAACATCCCTACCACACACCAATACATACACAGAACGCACACACTCAATTAAGCTGAAAAATCGATTCATCCTTGATAATGGCTAAAGGTATAGCCGAAAGCGCTCGGAAATATAAAACATTTGAACAGTTCTTACACACCCCTTTGTCCAGAAAAAGAAAGCTCTTCTTAGAACACAAGAAAAATTAAATAAAAGCTTAACCGTAGTACCTTGTCTGTCGTTTTTATAAAACATGCATATATAACCTGTATATGCATAAATATATATAGCCTGATATGATATATATATATATATATATATATATATATATATATATATATGAAGTATTAAGTTTCAAGACATTCAGATGCACTTTACTTGGCCATAGTTGGTGAGTCTAAACAGTGTTCACACTGGGGAAAATACCTTCTACCGTTTATCAAATTCTCTCACCCAAAGAGAATTTTCGCCAAAAGCGTATTTTCGACTTCATCATTCATTCACACTCCCATTCGTGCAAGTCGTTCTTTCACTGGATGGTGTGGGGACAGGAGGAATCGGTGGCGAGAGATGAAAGAATAGAGAAAAACGCCGCCTTGTAGACAATTCAAAAGACGGTAGTCCGGACACTCGCGCCATTTTGCTTACGACTTATCGCCAAGCAGGCGCCTCTGACCCGACTGTGAACTTAAAATCAATAAAATATTGTCCACGTCTACAACTGAAACACGCCTTTCTCGACCAGAAGAGTACCAATGACCACACCTACAATTCTGACAACCACTCCCTTTTCGTTCCCTCTTGGCTAGCATCCGGCTCGTTAGTACCAGCGGAATTATACAGACCTACCCAAATATAGATGCATTACTGAAGAGGTAAAAATCATCCTAATAATAGTTCTTATTAATCACTAGTTTTTTTTTTTTTTTTGTTTTTTTGTTGTTTGCTTCTTCTTTCGGTTAGGGCCGGTTAGGTTAACGACATCAAACACTCACCAAGTCTCAAGGGGGCTGTTTTTCAGCATTTGCCTTCACCCCCATCGACTGACCTTGCTGCTACTTCTTTCTCTCTGTCTAATTGAAAAAATTTTCTTTTCACTTTCGGCATCATATGACTAAAGCCCCTCCCCCACACTGCCGCCCCATAACAAGCAGCATCACTCATTGTTTTACATCACGATTTGCTTCCCTTTCTGTTCATTTGTGGTATTTTCCATTCATCGACCTCTCACCCATCTGGCCAATGATCTCTCAATTTCTCTCTAATTTAACTCTCACATTTCATTTTCTTTTTATCCCTCCTCATTTTTTAGTGTTAATTAAATCTTTGTTGTAATCTAGAAAAGGTTACTGAATAAGGAAAAACCAAAACAGAGCTTGGAAATGAAATTATAATCTTTATATCATCAACAAAATAAAATACTCGCCAGCGACGTGAAATAGGTAAACCCCTGCTAGTGGTGGACTACTTAGACAGCATATTACACCTACGTACAATAGTGTCCAATGTATTTATGAGGACTGGGATGTACCCATTAGTGTTCATAGGTACGGTATATAACACCCACCTTTTTAGATATTTTCTGTACAGAGTAAATATCTAATCCTCGTCGCCAAAATGTTGTAACCTAGAAAGGGTGACTGAATGAGGAATAACCAAAACGGAGGTTGGAAATGAAATGGTAATCTTAATAACATCAGCAAAATACATTACTTGCCAGTGGCGTGTCTGTTTCATAAACCATGCTAATGGTCAGACTACTTATGCAGTTATTTTACCCCAACTTACAATATATATGTATTTATGGGGCATTGAACATCCCCATTAGTGTCCGTACGTACAGGATATAATAGATAGATTGATTATAGATTTAGATAGATAGATAGATAGATAGATAGATAGATTTTAGATAGATTGTGTTGCAACCTAGAAAGGTTTATTAATGAGAAAAAAGTAACCAAAATCTTATTTAAATGAAATGGTTTCTTTATAACATCACCAAAATGCAATTTGTTCAGCGGCGTGAAGTAGGTGAACAACTGTTGTGGTGGATTCTTATACAGCTATTATTTTGGCTTAAAATAGTGTCCAACGTATTTATGAGGATTGGGACATTCCCATTATTAGTGTTCATGGTATGGTATATAACAATATTTTTCTTATTCTCTCGTCTTCAGGGAGAAGGTGATCATGACTCTCTTTAATTGCAAATAGTGAATCTTCATTACTATTCTGGGAATAGGTTATAGCGTCATTGCTCGTTGCCTTCTCTAGACATTTGAATTTAGGATTGTCTTCTTTCCTTTTTCATCTTTGAATCATTTCACCTCAAGCAAGGCGATAAAGCTACTAAGATGTAAGGGGTTACTGAGTGTGAAGAGAACTGAGAAAATAAAGGAACCGGATTCAAGATGACAGATGATGACGATTGACGTTGCATTTCAATTTTTGATGACCGTAGTTGACAGCAAAGCAATAATTTGAAAAAGGATTCTTCGGAAGAACTCCATGACTAATTACTCTACCAAGGCTAAAGAACACAGTTCGCCCTACTGTTTTTACCCATATCTGGATAAAACAGAGATAGACTCCTGCCATTCCCAAGGATATTAGCACGAAGTGAACGCAACAGCTCCACCCAGAATTTCAACTCGGCTTACCAATTCCATTTTGCACAACGATAACCGTTAAAAAATTTTTTAAATCTATATTAACACACACACACTTCACTCTTCAATAAAAATCATATTCACGTCAAGGTCTCTTTTTTGATTTTCATCATTCCGTGTGCCTTTGTTGTAGAGCAATACTTAGCAGGTTAGTCTGCTAGTGATTGTTACTAAATTCAATCCTCATTGAGTACCTAAAACCTTTGGCCTAGTTCTATGGCAAGCTTTAAAACACATACACTCGTGAATCTGTTAAGATTTTAGCCCAAATTTGGAAAGTTAATTTTCGAAGCAATCCCGCCTTCTCCGGAAGAGTGCTAAAACACAACCATTGTTCTATTTAAAGTAGTCAATGTAAAATCTGCAATACCCTCATAGATTAAGTGCTCTCCTCTAAATACATTGTGCATGGGATCTGTAGTGCTATTCTGACTGACTAATTTTGATCGCCCCAGTTCTCATCTTAGGGATTTCGAAATAGAAAAAAAAAAAAAAAGATTTGGAGCGCTTTTCTAATTGCGCCAATTCTTTCTTCCATTTCGTGCGAATTCGATCCGGAAAAGTTTTGCAAAAGTGAATTGAAGAAATGCTGGAGGAAACTCTTAAGACAACAGCAATGCTGAAATTTGAATTCCCACTAAGGAAATTTGGTGCCATGGGTACGTCGTAAGAACCAACACTCTTTCCACTGTCATCCTACAAGGCATCATCTTAGGCAAAAGCACAAGCGGTAAAAAGATCGGCTGGAAGATCGTTTGTAAAGACTCAAACACTATCGCACAACAGAGATATATGGAGAGAGCTGGGCATGTACTCGATTGGGCAGCGACCCTACAACCACTCACGATTATGTGAGTGATGATGATGATTAGGATAATGATGATAAATAGGAGGAAAACTGGTGACTCTTGCATGCGAAATTAAAAATGAGTAATTAAAATAAATAAAAAGAACTGTTATACTTACATAAATACAGTATTTTAATCCTGTTAATACGGGAGAATTTATTAGTTCATATTTTTTCGGTGGGACAAATTGTGCGTTCAGTGAGTGGGATCTCACCAATGTATATGAAATGAAGTGAAATTAATAGCTATGAAAATGGAGCCTGACGAAATCGACAAACATACTGTGTTCAAATCAATAGCTCAGTAGGCCAAGCATAGGAATTAATAAAAAAAAAAAATAATCCGGATAGAACACTCGAGAATTAAGAGCGTCCAAAACAAACCCACAGAAGATAGGAAAGTTCCCAAGAATCATTTAATTCACGGAAAGTTTACGGATTCAACTCGTGTCTTATACATAACGGATGGGACATTTATGAATGGGGGAAGTGCATTCTCTCTCGCAGCAAGATTTCGTATTTCAAAATATAACAGACATCCGAAGATGACGAGGAGGTTAGTCGCGGCTAACGAAAGTGCAACACAAATTGTTGCTTCTTGTACAAACCACATATTAATGAGTTGTGACCAACTACCTACAGTCTTCTCTTCACTGTAGAGAGTTTTTTTTTTCTTTTTCCAATTCTCTACTTGTCGTTCGTTTTAAAGTAATTGACACAAAAAATATTACTTTTTTCATTATCACTTTCCAATAAGTGTTCGATTCTGGTAGAAAAGTCTACAGAGGACACAACATTTTCCTCTTTTCTTTTTTCTTTCCTTCTTAACATTTGCAGCCTCATTCTCATTGTAGCCTCATTCTCATTTTTCTGCTTTATTCTTTCTTTTTCGTTTTTTAAAAAATAATCGATTTCTCTTCAACAATAATTCCGTTTTTTATTCTTTTCTTTCAATTTTTCAGCCTTTCTGGCGATTTTTAATTTTCAACTTTGTATTCGGTATTCTTTCCTCACCAACCACAACTTTTTATTCGTTCTTTTCTTTTCGAAATTATGTAATTTTTTATATGTTTCCATCCAATCCGATCCCTCCCTCCCTTCCTTCCTTCCTTCCTTCCTTCCTTTTTTCCTATTTGTCTTCCTTCTTTCTTCTTTTCTTCCTTTTTTCTTTCTTCCTTCCTTCTTCCTCCTTCCTTCTTCCTTCCTTCCTTCCTTCCTTCCTTCTTCCTTCCTTCCTTTCCTTCCTTCCCTTCTTCTTCTCCTCCTTCCCTTCCTTCCTTCCTCTCCTTCCTTCCTTCCTTCCTTCCTTCCTTCCTTCTTCCTTCCTTTCCTTTCTTCCTTCCTTCCTTCCTTTCTTTCTTCCTTCCTTCCTTCCTTCCTTCCTCCTTTCTTCCTTCCTTTTTCCTTCCTTCCCCTTCCTTCCTTCCTTCCTCTTCCTTCCTTCCTTCCTTCCATTCCTTCTTCCTCCTCCTTCCTTCCTTCTTCCTTCCTTCCTTCTTTTTTCCCTTCCTTCCTTCCTTCCTTCCTTCCTTCCTTCCTTCCTTCCTTCTTTTTCCTTCCTTCCTTCCTTCCTTCCTTTCTTCCTTCCTTCCTTCCTTCCTTCCTTTCCTTTCCTTTCTTCCTTCCTTCCTTCCTTTCCTTTCTTCCTTCCTTCCTTCCTTCCTTCCTTCCTTTTTCCTTCCCTTCCTTCCTTTTTCCTTCCTTCTTTTCTCTTTCCTTCCTTCCCTTCCTTCCTTTCTCTTTCCTTCCTTCCTTCCTCCTCTTCCTTCCTTCCTTCCTTCCTCCTTCCTTCCTTCCTCTTTCCTTCCTTCCTTCCTTCCTTCCTTCCACCCATTTCTTCCTTCCTTTTTACCTTTCTTTCCATTTTCCTTCCTTCCTTCCCTTCCTTCTTTCCTCCTTTCCTTACTTACTTCTTTTCCTTCTTTTCTATACTCTATCCTTCGATAATTCTTTAGTTCTCGCCTGCTTTCCTGCACTCATTATTTGTTATGATTTCTTTCTTTCCTTTGATCCTTTCCTCCTTCTATCCTTTTGTTCTCTTTTTTCCTTCACACCTTATCATCTTCCTTTCTTTTTCCTTCCTTCTCGGAATTCTTATAGTCATTCTCCTTTAATTCTTCATA